GTTCTAAATGAATAGTGCAAAGCACATGCCTTTACTAAATGAAATATTATTCCTTATATTCTTTGATTGCTTGTGAACAAGATTCCTCAGTTCACTCTGCAGCTCCTGTCTATCCTTGGGACACACAGTCTCCCCAGCTCACACACTGGCCATGTCCCAGCCATGCCCCTGATCGCTCAGCCCAAATGTCCTAAATGCACCTCATCTCCCACTTTTCTGTGCTTCCTTTCAGTGGAAAACAGGTACAAGGCAGATGGAGTGCACACAGAGCCTGCTCCAACATGCTGCATGAAGAATAGCATGGAGCTTACCTAAAGTGCTCCTCTGTACTCCAAGAAGAATCTTTAGCTTAACCATCTACACAGGTTAGATTTTATTGTATGAGGCTTTGAGAGTTCTCTCATGCACAAGCAGAATACTTATGCTACATATTCTTTTTTAAATCATCAAACAACTGTAAATTGAACACATCAAATTACTCAAGGATAAACAAGTCTACTCATGCTAGAAATAAAAAAGGAGTTCAGTGGTTTACTCTGTTCCTGAACAGAGAACTTGTTCAGTCAGCTTAAGCAGAAAAGAAAGGAAAAAAAAAAGAAAAAGAAAATCATGGCTGATTTGCGAAATTTCACTACCTTCAGCTGTGCAGAAGAGTAATTAATAAGGAGGGAAAGCTCCTCAGCAGATGATGAAAGGGCAGGCAGAATGATGAAGTTTAAAATTGCCTAGTGAAAGTCTAACTTTTTTCCGGCTTACAACTTAAAGGTTTTCTTATGTAACTACCAACAAAACACGTAAGATTGGTGGCCAAACTACAGACTTTCTTCCCCTCTCCACTAATAAAATGCATTGCACTCTTGCAATGTGAGACTTACTTTTTTAGTCAGTTTAAAATCTCTTAATCTTAACTGCACCAAACATGTAAAACTTGCTTTCACTACATGACAGTCTGCCTTATGCTATTATCCTGCTGTTGGCCCATAGAAAACATTAAGAAGCACTCAATTAGCTCAGTTTGATTATTTATTTCTGCAATTCAACACATTTTTAATATTGCTAAAATTTGCCCTTTGTTGTTTGCCAACAAGCTGGGCTTGGAGTGAACATTCAGCTTCAAATAACCTAGCCCCAGTTTTCATGTAATGAAAAATTACATAATAATTGTTACAACAGTTTTCTTGAAGTATTTTTCCCGTTTCTTCAAAGTAACTGTAAGGATAAGGTTCTTTTAGGCAGAAGCACTAAGGAACCTTGAGATCTGCAATTGTGGAAATAGCATAGAGAGAGAGCGAGGAAAGACCCTGGGTAAGTTACGCAAGTTTCTTAACTTTCTTCAGTTAGACTGAAAAAAACCTTACAGCTGCCACTAGCTTGGCAATGTCATGTGTTTTATTAAGAGTTCTGAAGATCTGATGTGGAACATCTTGTTGTTGGCTGCTTGTAATAAAATGCTAACCACTGAACTAGATTCAATCAGTAGCTGACATAGTAAGTATTGCATTTGCGGGGTGCCTCGATGAAGGAAGGAATGATGAATCTGACTCCATGTTCTCAGAAAGCTAATTTATTATTTTATAATAGTATATTATATTAAAGAATACTATGCTAAACTATACTGAAGAATACAGAAAGGATACTTGCAGAATGCTAAAAAGATAATAATGAAAACTCTTGACTCTTTCCAGAGTCTCGATACAGCTTGGTACTGACTGGCCAATGAGACAAAACAACTCACAACAGAATCCAAAGAAACAATCACCTGTTGATAAACAATCTCCAAACACATTCCACATGGGCAAAACAGAAGATAAGCAAATGAGATAAGAATTGTTTTCCTTTTTCTCTGAGCCTTCTCAGCTTCCCAGGAGAAAAATCCTGGGTGACGGGATTTTTCAGAAAATGTGAATGCCAGAAGTAAGATCTTGTTATATTACAAATTATCTAGTATTCTCATCAAAGTGAACAGCCCACAAAAACAGAGTCAAGCAAGTATCCTTGCTACTCACTATTCTGCAGTAGATCTCTCTGATCTTGAGGACATTCTACACTGCATATGAAATCTCCAATGTGAATGCTCACAAAAAGAATATGTCCCCAGAAATCCACTTCAAGCACATGATGATTCTTTACTCAAAAGCAATTTCAGTAAGAAAACTCACTATTATTAAATAAGTTAAAAGATGATGGTCTTTGTTTATCAAAGCATAATAATCAACAAAGTATCTTTTATGCCATAATTGCCTGACACATTAATGTAATATTGGTATCATAAGCTTACCACATCAATGCTAGAAGCTTTCAATAGTATTTGAAAATGCAAAAGAAATCATGCTAGACATTTAGCTTGCTAAAGGCTAAGGATCAGTCAGTGACAGGATCTAGTTATTGACAAGAGAAAGACTCTTAAATAGATGAAGGAGCAAATTAGCTCTATGAAGCAGAGGTAAGAACATGAGAAATGAATGTGAACATGTTAAATTTTTAGGACACATATTCTTGTTTTAAGAGCTAAGAAATTTTATCTCAACAAAAGATAAAATCGAAGTCACTAGGAACTGAAGACTTGTAGGAGTACATGACACATGAGAATAGATCTGAAGTTTTCTCTAGTAAAAAGATTAATTCTTTTTACCAGTTTAAGACCTCTAATGTTTTCCATCTTTATTGATTCTTCTATAGGATAGCTAAAACACTGCCTGAATTACCTCAATCTAAAAGAAGTCTCAAAATTGTGACAGAACAGCAAACTGCTTGCTCCCATATGTTTAATTAACTTCCCAAGCCTGGAATAACTAGACTGGAGGTCAACCAAGCCTGTACTAAAGGCCACCAGTGACTTTAAATATGAAGTGTGCAGACTTCTCATATTGTTTCCTTCTCCAGGAACTGGGAAAAATAACCATCTACTGTTTGATGTAATTGTTGAAAACATGGTAACTACCATGGTCAAGATGCCTGCACTCCCCTACTGATTCAGGAGGCAATATTTAAAAGATCCTACAGCCAGTTTGTATCTGGATGAGAAGTGTATCATTATGACTGAAATAGTAATGTTTATCAGCTCCCTAAAGCAGAATCACACCACAAAAGCAGCAATGTATTATTCCATGTATGAAAAGAAAACCTTTGTTTTCTACCTCACCAATACTGTCCAGCAGAAGTAAACATATGATACAGCTCTCCTTCATTTGGATTACAGAAAGCAACTAGACTTTTAAAATATATACAATTTACAGTGTGAAAGCAGTTTATTTTGAATGAATGATCCTTTAAAAGCCCAAGCTTGAAGAATGTCTTAAATTAAAAAGATGACACAGAGATGAGTTCCATTTGAGCAGTCAATGCTGACACCTTAATAATAAAATAAAATATGCTGCAGTACTTCAAACATTTTGCAGCTGTTACAACAGCATGATTATCTAATACAGATATATTTACCAAATTCCACATTCTGTAGTACAAGCATTTAAAATCAAAATACTTCTTTTTATTTGTCTAATCATTAACTGGCAACTTAATGACTTTTCAAATGTAAATCTAATCAGTGGCATTAGAATTGTTTTTTTATTTCAAGTGGTAGCATAATCCCTCAGCTGCAACTATGCTCTGCTCTCACATCCCCTCACTTAACCAAATATTCCCAGCCACATAACAAAGTTCACGCATCCCTACAAAGTGAAACTTTCTCTCCCAGTCCAAAAGTAGATCTTTGGGCTCTAGAAAGATAATGTTTCCAAACCACAGCAATGTTTTCAGCCTTTATAACTAAACTATATTATTATAAGGACCAAAATAAAACATTTAACTTGGCTGGACACCCCCATAAAGCTTCAGTAATCAACAATTCTAATATTTTTATTGTCATCCATAAACATACTTTAACCTCGTACCATATCAATAACAATAGCTCAGTGAAGCTTCATGAATTGTCATAAGAAAATCTGCTTCTGCACTAACTCATTCCAAACTTGCTTTCTAATTTAAGAAAAATGATATTTGTATTGGGGAGGGGCTTTTTTTCCCCTCCAAGTATGCATATATCTATTTTTATCTTGTTTTATTATGTAAAAATTTGAAAACGGAATTAGAAATACATCTGCAATCATAGTCTGTGAACACACAACATTTTTCATAATTGAAACAGCACTATGTGGGAATAAACTGACAGCTGGAGACTCCAATGCATTCTGCAGGCTACATGACAGACCTGAACATATTAATGGATTCACAAGATCAGAAAGACAACATCTCTATTAAAAGAAATGAATATATTTAATACTAAAATTACCCATTTCATTTTTATTTAATATTAACTCTGCAGAAGCGCACATGAAATTTTAATCGTACCTACATTGCTAAGGCTGCTCATTACGCTTTAACATAGCTGTGGAAAGAACCACCTTAAGTTCTTCGCTTGTCATGTTTTGTGACATGATCTTAGTGGCAAATTTTTAAGTTACTTAGAGCTACTAATTAAATTCTACAGATTTTACATTTATGTTTAAAATGGATTCATTTATCAAAGACAGCATTAGATGATAATACAGGACTCAATAAAATGGACAATTTTCTGTGCAAGAATAGCAGTGGTCCATGACCCTGAGGCTTTAGCTCAGCTGGTCAGAGCATGGTGCCACCAAAACCAAGGTTGGGGGCTCAATCCCCATACAAGCTGTGCATTTAATAGCTGGACTTCATGATCCCTGTGTGTCCCTTCTAACTCAGGCCTATTCTGTGATCTTAAAAACCTCAATTAGATTTATGGTCTAAGCCTAAACTTTAACAAAGTTTAACCCATTTCCCTCTTCTCCTAAACACATTCCTCATCATATGGTCAACCAACCTTTGTATGCAAGCAACAGCGCAAGCAAACAATTCATGTGGATTAACCAGATTACAAATCATATACATATACACATTAATTTTTTCCCTAAATCTCTGAACTTATCTAATACTATGTGCCATTTTTAAATACCTGGAAAAAAAGAAACTCTTATTACCTTTTCAGCTGTTAACTGTTTTGATGGTTTTTCTGATTCTTTCTCTCTCTTTTTCTCTTCTTTCTTTTTTTCTTTTTCCTTCTGCAAAAAGAAAAAGCATTTTGCTAGTACCCAATTTGCAAACATTTTGAATGTCTACAGCCATACAGACTATAAACAGAGATCTTCAGTTACTCCCTTTTAAATCATAGTTTATGCTTTTATCTGCTCTCCTTCTAGAAGTGACTAATTTTGCTCAAATACTAATACTAAAAATACTGTGACTTTTAGATTAAATTCAAGAAATTCACTTTTTTACTTGTTCATCTGCTTTTCTGCTTAATAAGCAGAAGGAAAAAAGAACCAGTATTGACTCTCCTAAGCTAAGCAGAGCTGAAGAGAAAAAATAATCTACAAGTATCTCCATGAACTCTGACAGCCTCTGTCACTGAGGGTGGATGACAGCTGCTCTGACCAAAGAACTAGGCTGAGGTAACTTGCAGGCTGCTTTCTGCAGAAAGGTACTAATTTTTAAAAGCCAATGTAGTAGTCCTAAAAAATACTCCTGAATGTAAAAAAAGTTGCCTTGGGCCATATGACAGGCCAGCTGAGTCATGAGACATTATGTTGTTCCAGAAAGTGAAAATATAAAGATCCCTTTACTTTGAATACACCATAATGACATTACAGATATTTCTTCACTTTAGTTTTTAATGAATGAATTTGCCAAAATTACTGACCCATCTGACTGAAGCAAAGCATAAAATATGCCTTAAGGAAGTATATAGACTTTCTAGGTTTGCAACTGCTTAGACACAGTGTTAGTCTGCCTGCATTTACCTTGTACACCTGCAGAGTAGTACTAGTGAGTATATTTGAACACTAAATGGATGAAACAAGGATTTACCATGTGTAATAAAGACAATGAAACTGTAGCCAAAAAAGCCTTGTTTCAGAAAACACTACTGTTTACAAGTTTCCCAGTATTAGGAGGAAGGTTGAGAGGCTAGACTTGTCCATGCAGCTCCAGTATAAAAACAAAACAGTTAATAGTTTGTGTCAGTAAGGAATATTTGTGAGTTTTTCCTTTTTTTTTAACATCCAGTATATACAATTTAAAAATTTTTACAGCATGCTATTTACTTAATATAGTTTTAACACGCAGATGAAGGTTTTGGTTTTTGTTGTTTTGGGGGTTCTGTTTGTTTGTTTGTGGTTATTTTTTAGAGGTGACTGGGCACAGGGGAATCCAAGTAACACATTCTTCAAAACTTCCAGTAATCCATTTTCAAACCTTTCACCATATTTACCAGATGGCTTTGGGCTACTCAAGTCCCGACTAACCCATGTGAATTATTTCATCAGGCATTAACCTGAACACTCCTGGCAAATCAGACTATCACACCAAGCACCTGCTTACAAGCAACAGAAAGCAATGACCACAGTTATGAAACCCCAATAGGGAAATTTGGAACATCTGTTTTGATGAAAAGAAACAAACACCAACATAATTTTCACAGAATAAAAGAACACAAAATTGAACACAGTGGTCCAAACTAGAGGCCTTGCCAATGCTGTAATCTCACCTGTGGAAATGCAAGGTGTTAAAAAAATGTCTGTATGACTGGGACAAGTATAAAGAAGTATTTTACTTTGAGGTCACATAATAACCTGAGAGTTGCAGTCTTATTGAACTAGGATTACAAATGCATAGCCACACCTCTCAATCAAGCTCAGCCTTTCTTCCACTACCATTTCACTGACCCTAGTACCAACCTGCATTCTAGTATACACACAAATTACACTGTCAGAGCAAAAACTTTTTGAAGTCTTTCATTTTCTGTTCCCACATCCCACTCCAACCTTCTCAAGTTGAATAATTTAAATAAACATAATCTCTTCTTCTGTAGAAACTTAAGACAACTGCATCAGAGGAAGTGTGACCAGCAGGTCAAGGGACCTCATGATTCTCCTCCTCTGCTCTGCTCTCACAGACCCTTCCTCTGCAGCTGGAGTCCCCAGCATCAGAAGGTCATGGACCCACTGCAGCCCAGAGAAGGGCCACAAAAATGCCTGGGGCTGGAGCACCTCTCTCTGAAGACAAGCTGAGAAAATTGGGGTTGTCTGAGCCTGAGAAGAAAGAAGACTCCGGGGACACTTCATAACAGTCTTCCTGTAGTAGTACTTAAAGGGGACTTCAGTAACAATGGGTTAGGGCTCTAGCAGGACAGTGACAGGAGAAGGAGGTATGGCTTTAAACTGAAAGTGAGCAGGTTTAGATTAGATACTAGGAAGAATTTTTTTACTGTGAGGATGGTGAGGCACTGGAACAGATTGCCCAGGGAGGATGTGGAACCCCTATCCCTGGAAGTGCTCAAGGCCAGGCTGGATTGGGTTTTGAGCAACCTGTTCATAGCAGGGGGTTGGAACTAGATGATCTCTAATGGCCCTTCCAGCTCAAACCATTCTATGACTCTACAATTCTATGATTTGATTCCTCTCCTCCCAGGAAAGGTTGTTTGAAGTGTCATGTAAATACTCTTACTTTTCAATCACAGTACCTTAAATTTCCTTGAATATGTTTAAGGGAAAGCAGAGTTAAAGTTTTTGCATTTTTTCAGCATGTCCTGATTTCCAGTTTGACTTCAACATTTTTAAAAATATGTTTTGTCAAAGAAACCTCACTTTTGGAGTAAAAAGTATCTGGAAACATTTATTTTTCAAGACTTCAAGAACAAGGAGGATTTGTAGCAAGTTTCAAATGGCAATCGCTTCATAAAGGTGACGAAATATAAATATATGCCTCTTTTTGCCCTTAACAAATCTCTGAAAGCTTAATAATGAATGTATTAAGACTTCAAATAAACTGTTCTCCCATGTTTCTACCTCCAAACCTCACAGTCTACAGAAACAGTCTTGATTCCCAGCAACTTAATTTTCACTGTGGACTTGAAAACCCACAAGTCTTTCATCTTCACACTTCCTGATTTCAATATTCAAGCTTTCTGCCTCAGCTCCATTAGATAAAAATGATTTCAGACTAAATAGAAACATTTCTCAGATGGTGCATTCATGCCAGAACTTCAACTCAAGTGCTTCATTATTTGCAAAAGCAGTCAAAAAGCACTATGAAGATAATAAAAATAAATTGACTTTATACTAGTCTTAAATTCTAAGCAAAGATTATTAATTTTTTTTTCCAAGTTTCATTTCTAATAACATGGTATACTAGTGACAAATAAGAAATTTCAAATGTGAATGCAGCGATAGAGGTAGATAAGAAAGTAAAGGCAAGTTGTATTCTTAGTGGCTTCTGCTATTCCGGTACAACTTACAACACATGACAAATTCAACAAGGCTTGTGGTCTTAGTCCATGACACTGACATTTAAATTTTAATTAATTTTTAAATACAGTTGAACTAAAATAATTAATAACTTCTGTCAATTTTTTTGTATTCAGAAGAAAAAAGCTTGATTTATGTTCACATCATAAATTATTTCATATATTGTATAGTCTCAGTTTAGAGTGAAGTATCTAAAGAACCTCACATTGGACATTCACATTCTAAAAATGCATTTTATTATTGTTGCAAATTGTGACATTTACTGAAAGTTGACATAAATGATGCCTTATCTACTACTTGCTTGTGTGTTATGCTTTTCAAAGATCATCTAAACAGTAAATGTGTTAGTACACACACATATCCCAGCCAGAAGAGATATTAAAACCAGAATGAGTCAATATAATTATATATTTATCTCCAAGGAGAATGAACTAAATGTCTGGAACAATACTGATAATTTTGAATCTGGAACAAGCAAGCAATACAAAAAAAGATACCAGAAGCTATTTCTGATGAGACAGGACAGTATCACTCATGCCCATTAGCTGGGAATTAAGTGGGTTTTGTGACACTAAATCAGAAGTTTTGTGACACTAAATCAGAAGAAAACCAGAATTTTGACATAACAACGCCAAGAAATAACAACCACGCAACATACTTTGCAGCTGTATTGGGTCTTTTCATTTAGCTAGTCCAAGAAAAAAGGAGAGATGTATCTCAAATGTGTGAAGTATTAACAGCAATTCAAACTCTCAAGTTACCTCAGTGAAATGACTCTATAGAGATGTAAACATTTGCGCAAAGCAGTAACCTGATAAGAGTTACACCCAAAACCAATATACCTCTGCTTTGCTCTTCTCAGCAGCAGCTTGCAGAGAAGGAGAAGATGCCAAAGGCTGAGCAGCATCAGATGATATCTGTACAAAACAGAGGAAAGAAATGAGAAAGAAAATAAGCAAGAACAGCTGGGAAGGGAGGCAGTAGAGGCCGCTAAGAGACATGATTTTAATTTTTTTTTTTTTCAATAATATTGATGGTAGTGGTTACACGACATAGAAGAAACATAAAGAGGAGACAAAGGTTTGTTTTTTTTCCTGAGTGCAATATTTAAAGGAAGCGTTTCAGGTAGGAAAGTGTGACTTATAATGAAAATCACTAGGACAGAATATAAGAAAATGAATGTGGATAAGATCATATCAAAGGCCTAAGAAAAACAATTAGGTTTCATTCATTGTTCAGTTCTTATCCAGTGTAACTACTGAAATATTAATGTCCTGAAGCATGAAGGCAGACTGTCCCAGAGGAGGGGGAGAGAAGAGAGTGCCTTTGTTCTTGTTCAATGCAACAGAATATTTTTATTAAGAGGAATGCAAAATAACTCTGAAAGTTATACATTAATTAAAGTTCTAATTAACTCTTCCCTAAGAACACTCCAAGTACATAAAGAGCTTAGGGTTAATATAAAGCCACATCTTAGCAGCAGGTTGAAGGATCTCAGACATGTGACACTTACATGGTATGTAAAATTGCTATTAGCACCACTAGACTTCCAGAATTCTCCAAAAGGTGTAACTTAAATATGCAACAAATACAGTTTGCTCAAAAAATAGGATTTCTCTAAAGGCATTTTCATACAACTTCCTATCCAATTTTTTTATGCATAGCTGATTACTTTAATGGAAACATTATATTTCTATTTCCCTTATTATAAAAACAAAACTGAAATACATTTTCCAAATATGTAGATCTTCAGAGCTATAAAACTGACACTTCTATACTATTTTGTATCACCTCTATTATCTAGAAGGAAAATTTAGAAAGAAATGAAGCTGTAACAGAGTAGGTCATTATGTTGGACCAAAATGAGCAATTTAAATGACATGTTTTTACTTAGTTTAAAAAAAGCAGCTCGCACTAAATGGAAACCTAAAGCTGATAAAAACCACCATCATATCTCATGTCTAAATACCCCATATTTCTTACAGAAAATCCTACTGTTGCTTTACTTATACAGCTGGAATATTCATAGAATTTACATATTTAGTATTTTTACAAAAAAACCTATGTCTACGCTGGAAGGTGGTGCAGAGCTGGAGGAAAGATATTTATGAAGTTAAATATTAAAACCAAATTTTACCTACAGAAATAGAAACAGAATCCTCATTTTTAAATCTACTGTTTTAAAATCCTCGGGTTATTAGCAGAGTTATGGATACACCTGCTGCAATGATGCAGTTTCACAAACAGTAGCATTCTGTTGCTATAGGAACATTGGGATCCTGTTTATTCCGGCAGCACCACATAGTAACCAAATAACGCCGGAAAAATTATTAGGTAACTACACTATATACTGAACTATGTACTCTAATATCATGCTTCTGAGTTTTTAATTAGATAAAAATGTGTAAAATTCTGATAATGAATCATCATCTTTCAAGCGGCTAACAAGTGGGATTTTTGGTTTGGGTTTGGAGTTTTTTCATTCTTTTGTATACTTCAGATTTTAGGAGAACTGAAGCTTGAAGCTTGATTGCCCTCACAGGTGAACAGCAGAATTACACTTACAGAAGGCAGAATTTCATTTGGGGGTTAGGGGGAAAATCAGCACTGTAGGTGTTTGTCAATTTCCATCCTCCCATAATAGTTCTTAATCTCCAAATCCTCTTCATAATATAAAGGATTATCTAACCTAGAAGAAGGTAATTCTACGAAGGCCTGAAAGCAATTATTATAGTTTTGCCAATCAAGTAATGGAATCACAGAACTAATGAAGAAGTGTCATGCAAGCTGTCAGACAGAGTTGTGAGACAGAGTGAAAAGCAGTTGCTGTCTAGCCTGGGATATGGACCAGGATGTACAAGTTGAGAAATGCCCAAGCATAATGTTTAAAGACAACCAGCATCACTACAATCACTTCAGGCAAAAAAGAACACTTGAAAGCACATTTCACACACACAAATATTCAACTAAGCCAGAGAACAAAAGACATATGAATGAAGCTAATCTTTAAGAGAAAACACATTACAATGTATAAAGAACAGATTAAGTTTACATAATGAAAGCAACAGTACAAGGTAGAGCTGCTGAACAGCTTTATCACCACTGCATCGTGTTGAATTTGTTATCTACCAGGCTGCACCAGATAAGGAAAGCTGAATGAAAAAATCAAATCAAACCGAGTGGCTAGACAAAGCTAAACACACAAATACTGTCTACCTAGAATTTTGCAAAGACTTTGACATCATTTTCCAGAGCATTCTCCTGGAGGAACTTGCTGCTCATGGCTTAGACAGGTGCACTGTTCTCTGGGTACACAGGGGCTGGGTGGCCAGGCCCAGAGAGCAGTGGTGAATGGAGTCACAACCAAAGAGTGGCCTGTCACTAGTGGGGTTCCCCAGGGTTCAGTATTGGGGCCAGACTTGTTTAACATCTTTCTTTATGCAGGATCTGGATGAGGGGATGGAGTGCACCATCGTTCAGTTTACAGATATTACCAAGCTGGGCAGGAATGTTGATCTGCCGAAGGACAGGAAGGCTCCACAGAGGGATCTGGACAGGTTGGATCAATGGCCTGAGACCAACAGTACAAGTTTCATCGCGATTTCAACACATTTCAACATTCCTTTTCCTGGGGGAAAAGGATCTGGCAATACTGGTTGACAGCCAGCTAAATTTTTCCATGAAAATCCAAAAAGCATTTCCAACCCTCTTCCAGAATCCAAGTGAAAAAGCACACACACTGATCTACTCTGACAACATGTTTGCACTATGCTCTGAAAAGCAGTCAACTAAAGACATCTTTGATTATTGGCACCTTAAAGTATCAAATGGTGACCACTGTAACTAATCATACATACTGCCAGCAAAAGAGTAAAGTTGGGTGATTTTGTGCATTACCAATGTACTGCAGAATGACAACTAGCATATGAATACGTAATTTAAACTTTTAACTTCGGAGCAGTTACATCTTTTGATTAAGAAATTCGGAGTTGCCTAAAACAAAGAATGATGGCAAGGAGCTGTCTCAAGTTTTCACATTTCTCCACAAGATTTTGATCACATTTCAGACCAGAAGACTTGCAGTCATTTATTTTTTAGCAATTCTTGAATCTTCAGCCATTGTTTGTGTTTTGTGACTCCTTCTTAGAGAGATTACAGCAAAAATAACCATTATGCACAATGAAATTCAATACTCTCTTTAAAGCATCTGGTACCTTTAGTGCTGAGCAAGAAATTACATACACATGCAACAGTACTGTAAGATTTCAGTTTCACCTGTGCTCACTGAGAAATCCTTTGGTGCATAAGAAATGTAAGATCAGAAAAGAAAGAATCTGCAGATTTACAGTATTAGTCCAGTTCCCAGCCCCTTTTACATGTAAATGTGTTACCTGTCCCTATTTTCCTCCCTAAAACACTTCTGTATTATCTGTTATTACTTAGTGGTGCCACTACCCAAATACATGCTAAGTACAAACAGTAGTTGGCCCAATGTCTTGAGGTAGTGTGTTGACCAGACTACTATTCCAAGTAAAAAAAAGTAAGCTTTAAACAAGAACTAAATGAAGTTATCAGAAAACATGGCATACAAAAACTATGATTTTACTTTAGTTTAATTTGTACTGACATGTTTGTGATGCTATGTAACAGTCACACAAACACTATCAGTCATTAAGGTGTAAGTACTTCATAAATTTTTCACCTGCTTTCATTTGTAGTTTTTCCAAAATCCAGCATTGTTGTAATACATGCCATTATTCAGCCTTTTATTAAAGAGGATTCAAGTTGAAGCTTTATAAGCCTACACTAAGCTTCCATTTAAATATGAAATGCAGGCTGCTATCACGCAGAAGATTCAAGACATTAAAGAATGAATGTGTTATCAAACGACTCAGGAAGTCTGCAGCTGAACCAAATACAAAAGTGCCCTCGAGTGGCCAGTTTATACACACACAATATGCAGGGAATTAGCCTAAATGAAGAGAACTATTCTGTTTCATTTGACAGGTTGTAAGTTTAGCTGCTACATATGTTTTTCGTATTTCAGCAGACTTTTGACTTTATTACTATGTATCTCCAACAAATGACAATACTAAAATCAGTAATTTATCTTAAAGTAGTAGCAATTATAGACAGCTAGTAGATGGATATAATCACACAAATCAATTGCTTGACATTTTTTTAAGAGGTCTATCCTTGGAATACTGCAAGGAGTATAAGAATACTAATGTACTATTAATAACACTTACCTATGAATTTTTGGAAGTTCTTAAGGTTAACTGGGAAGGCATTTTTCTAAATGCTTGTGCTGGTTTTGGTTGGGGTAGAATTAATTTTTTTCACAGTGCCTAGTACAGGGCTGTGTTTTGGATCTGTGCTGAACACAGCGTTGATTAATTATAGAGATATTTTTGTTATTGCTGAGCAGGGCTTACACAGAGCCAAGGCCTTTTCTGCTTTTCGTACTGCCAACCTGGTGAGGAAGCTGGGGCTGCATGGGAGGTTGGGAGGAGACACAGCCTGGACAGGTGACCCAAACTGACCCAAGGGATATTCCAGACCATGAGACATCATGCTCAGTATATCAAGTGTGGGGAAGAAGGAGAAAGGGGGACATTTAGAGTGATGCCATTTGTCTTCCCAAGTCACCATTACACAAGATGGATGAACACCTGCCAGCCCTTGGGAAGCAGTGAATTAATTCCTTGTTCTGCTTTGCTTGTGTGTATGTCCCTATTGAGCTGTCTTTATCTCAACCCACAAGTCTTCTGGCTTTTACCCTTTTCAATTCTCTTCCCAATCCTACTGGTGGCAGAGTGAACGAGCAGCTGTGTAGCCCTTGGCTGCTGACAGGGGTGAAACCACAACATTCCCCTATTCCAACACTGGACACCCCTAAGAGAGATCCAGAGTCCTG